ACAAGGTTCTGCCATATACTGTTCAAACCCTAGTTCCCCACAGGTCAGATCTCTTGCATCCCAGTGAGAAGTTAATGAAAATTGCCACACTGCATTGGACCCAGGGAATAGTAAGCAGACATCAAGGTAGTGACCCTCATACAGAGTGTTCCTTTGTAGAAGCAGAAATAAAGAAAGAACTAAAATTTCTGAGTACTCTCAAGTTGTTACTCCACCTATGTTTTAGCGATCTAATTTGTAAGTGACAGAGCTGTGGGTAATTTGCAGCAATCATCTCTGAAAGTCCAAACTGTAACCTCTCCACCATGTATGGAAACTTAGTACAAAGACCTTTTGAACATCAAAAGCCACAGCTCGCAGTTTTGTTTCAAGGTCTTCCAGTCTGGTCAGGTTTAAATAGAAAGAACCCTCAAGCTGGTTGTCTCAGAAATAAATCAATGCAGATAATTAACCTATTATTATAATAAGAATTGATTAGCATAAAGAAACAAACAGTGGAGCTATCATACACACCACATTTATACTTGCTATCCACATGTTGCACCTATTCCTCCGCTCTTTTTCCTCCAACAACCATCAGAATAATTATTCTCAGAGAGCATTAGCTACAGCTCAAGCTGCAGGCATAATTTACACTTCCTTGGAGACCCAATTATAGGTTATAGGAAACAGTTCTGAAGACAGCCTCCCACTCTACAGCTTCATATTTATATAACTAAACCCCCCATTGTTTCACTTGCCTTTTGGATCTGGCAGCTGAACAGCAGAGTGAGAAGGGCTGACTAACTTTAAATCCATTTTAAGATGACTAAATATATACATTATGAACAGTTTCCCTCTTTAGAATTACCTTTCTACTTCCCTTTTTCGAAATAAAACATGTATTTGATGTTAAGTGGATCTAATTAAAGCAAATGGGTATTCTCCTTCAGAATTAATAGATGTGATGCATTGCATCACTTGCCTTACATGATTGCATCAAAACAAGGTTATCTGCACCCTGGAGATATAACAGCTGTAAGACCAAGGCAGCCAAGCTGTACTCCACTGTAAGCCTAAATATGGTTTAAAGAACTCTGTAGATGTGCCTTTTTTTTTTTTTTTTTTTTTACATACACACTTAGTACAAGATAAGGCACCATGTTGACACCTGGAGTCTCCTTAAACCAGTACACCACACTTCTTATGCCAAAACATCATACTGAAAATGAGCCTAGAGCGAAAGGAGTGCTAGATCTCAATCTTTTTCTTGAAATAAACTCCCCTGAAGATATCGCTGAACACATTAAATGCAAGTGTGACCAATGTTTGGCTGAGTTTTGGATGTGCCTTGCTAACAAGAATTCACAGTTAGGGATCCATGGTTATATATAGCACCTACCTTACAAGCTAAAGAAAACTGTATATTTTCAGCTGGAAATAATAAAATGCAGCAAGTGGACATCTGTCAACAGTTAAAGTCATATGATAGTCTTTAATAGTCTGTTTTCTCTTAGTTTTGTCCAATCAGTTTGTATTTCTCTAATACATAACCTTGTTATCTTTCCTGGCATTTAACTGGTGATCTCAGACCCTCCCTTGCATGTGGGAAGCTACCATAATGCAAGTGTGGAGAGTTTTTGACTTATGCACAGAATGTGGATAGAAATTATGCAGTCATTTTCCATGATTTTTGTTATCCAACCTAGAAAAGCAAAAAAAGGCAAAGCACATTTTAAAAATAGAATTTCAGAAAAATAGCTCAACACACAATTTCAGTACAAAAATATGGTACAATTAAATCTACCACTTCCCAAAGCAATTTACAAAGCTGGACAACTACTAATCACATTTTACAAACATTAAGTGTAACTTACAGGTTAGACAAATTACCCAATTCAGTCACAAAATGTAAATAATACCAGGGCTTGATATCAGTTAGCAGAAATCTGCAAGGTGTTCCAGTACATCTTTTCTGATCTGCCTTGTTCTCAGGGGTCTAAACTGTGATTGAGCAGTGATTACCTGTGATTATTTTTTTTTAAGGGCAAAAAGAACCCCCAACCCTGGAGCTGAGACAGTCTTGCAAAAACATTAACTTCTCACAACAATGCACCTCCACTGGTCCTCATTTAGCTACTTTTGAAATTAATATGTTGGTGATATTTAAAGCGCTAAAACAATATAAATCATTTAACACCTTATGGAGAGGAAGATTTGCAGATAAAGGGTAATTTGGCACCCACCTCCAATTCAGAAAGGAGGGATAAGCACAGGAATCTGGATGAATCTAGTTTTGAATTTATTCAGAACTCAGTATGAAAGAGACAGACACAACAAGTCAAGGCAGCATGCAAGAACCAATTTTGTATGTTTTCACATTGTACTGTGAGTGGCAGTTCGCACAGGTAGGAGCCTGGGAAAGTCCTCATCTGAGAAAGTTCCATCTCAGGAGATGGGGGAATTTTCTCTCTCTTTTTCTTACCCAATCCCTCTCTTTAAAATTATTCCTTCCCAAGCACTAAACAGACTGGAAGCACACAACATGCAGATCTGCAGAGGAGAACAATGTGGATTCTCTGTTATATGAGGAGAAGGAATTAAAAAAGGAAAGTGACACTGGCCTGCAGAAAAAGAAAGACTGAGAATCTTAAAGTCCCCTTCATGTAAGAAGCATATGTAGGAGCCAGCTCACAAAGATAATTTTCTTTTTCCACTCAGATTACTTCCAAACTCTCGGTTCTCACAGTTTTCAATAAATTCTGATGTGTATGCAGCTTTTCCATAAGAGCTCTGGCTATCTCAGAGCTTTCATTCTTGAGTCATCTTAAACACATACAGGTATAAAAGTAAGTTTCCAACATCAACCTCCATCAAATATGAGGACCACTTACCATCTTCTCAGCAATCTTAATGCAACAACAATAAACTAGAAAAGAGCTTTATGTTAGTATAGTACTATTTATAGTAAAGCATACCAAAACTCACAAATTCAAGCATGCTTTTATAGCAAATGTCAGATTGACTTCACTTGGGAATATATTCACTTTTTCCAGTCTTATATTTTGCTTAAAGGATTCATAGTAAGTAAGGAACATATTTTTCTTATAGGCGATATTTCACATTTACTCAGCTAAAATGGTTTAGCACTTGCATTTACAGTTTATCACTGGCAGTTATATATGATCATACTTAAAGATAACACTGAAAATTGAGTTGGTATTGTACTACCCATAACTGAGCAATCAGTGCAGATAAGACAAGCAATGTTTAGCATCATGCCACCAGATTTCACAAATTTATCCTGGCTGACCTATGGTGGTTGCAGTTTCAGTCATTGACTTAAATAAGAGACACAGATGTTTGGGGTTTGCTGCTCTCCTTGCTCATATATTAACTGAGTCTCTGCACCTGGTGTCTCACTTCATTTGCTGGGTCATCACTGTTCATTATTTCTTTTCTCTAATCTTGCTCTTTCCCACAGAAGTTCCCCATCTACAAAACAATGAGGAAGTAAACAGAGCAACTTCAAGAATACAGAAATAAATTAGTACTTGTTCCAATTTGCTATAGACAAATAATTCCCAATCCACTCAGGAGCTTGAAGAAACATCCAATATTTTAACAGCTCCTGAAAACTTCTAGCTGCACTTCATCCAAGATCACCAAGTAGTATAAATCCACTTTTCCACTTGGCAAACAGAAACAAGGAGGAGAGAGAAATGGCTTAGATGTCAAATGAGGATACATAAAAAGTAATGGGGTGGTTGATTTCAACAGCATTTTTTATAAAGTGGATCCCTCGGACTTTAAGCCCACTCTGGGCATTAAAAATTTTGAGGACTCATTTACTTGAAATGACTGCTTTGTTCTCTTTGTCTTCTTCTCCTACCTTTATATCTTTTTCTGTCTGTACTTGACGCATGAATAGCCTTTCTCCTTTGCCATTAAGTTATTCCCTTTTCCCTTATCTTTTGTGTTTTGCTAGCCTAGATCTCCTAACACTGTTTCCATTTGTTCTCAATCCTGAACCTGTCTAGTTTATGTAATCTCATCAATTCAGATTACCATCACCTCAGGGAAAGTATCTTCCCTTCCTACATGTTTCTAAAATCTGCTATGGAAGAGATAATAAATGATGCCTTTTATTCATCTAAAGTTCAAAGCCTGTAAAAATACAAGTAATCTACATGCCTTTGCTCTTCTTATAAATTAGTAATGAGTCTGGAATGCTTCCCCATGGCAATTAAGACTCATTCAGTTAAAATGACTGTATTCTGTCATCTAAATCCTGTCTTATTGAAAAAAAGTTATGTATTTTCTATTAACATCACTACCAAAAGCTGTACAAATAACTTCAGGATTTCAAAAGGCACAGTCACAAAATGCTTCTCATCCTCACTAGTTTACTCAGCTTGTTAGGGTGAGTTACAGTATATCCTACAGCCAGAAGGGTTCAGATAGAGAGAAACCACATTTACAATGAGATAAAAGGAAGAGTTTCAGTGCACCACAATACACATATTCTAATAACAATTAACCTTTGATAGGAACAAAGAACCGGATGTTTTTGTGTTGGTGTTGGGCAGGGGGGCACATAGAAGGGGGACAGAAGGAAGACTAAAACTATTGCCACAACCAGTACCACAGAAAGGTCCAACATGTCCAAAATATTGGATAAAGATGTAGCCTAGAAACTACCTTGGAGCATTTATTCAATTATTAAGCTAAGTGAAGAAAATATTCGTAATGTCACACTTGGTAACTGAAACTTAGCCCATTCTGGAAAATGTTTAATGTTGCTTGTGTCATTTCTCTTCAAAACATTGCTGTTGGATGAAAAACATAATGAAGGAGGTTTGTTCCTAATCCACCCTCTGCTCATACAGATCTTGAGTCTCCTAGTTTATTCTTTTAAAATAGTGCTGTAAAGGAATAGGCTACAAAAAGTACTTCTCAATCCATCTATTTTTATAATACTGTAACACAAAGAGCACAAGCCAGAGAATCTTAAATATTACCTTCGTATAGAACTTCATATTCAGTGGGAATACAGCTATATCCTTGAATCAAATCCGGAAGACAGTCCTTACAGAAGGAATGAAGGCAAGGTAGCATTCTGGGCTCTCTCTTCCGCAGGTCCCATTTGCACACCAAACAATTCCTCAACAGATCCAGGGTATCCATTTCTGTCGGCTGAAGTTTGACATCGAAAACATGAAGAGTCACAAAATGGCTCATGACAACCCCTTCACTTAACAAAACACTCGATCGCTCAAGCGCAAACTAGAAGGCAACAGCAGGATGCACATTCTCAGAAACAACATTTATTTAGTCCTTGTGAAGAAAGAGGAAGCTCCTTGCAGCTGAAAATCACATACCTGCTTTACAAAAAAGAATATCTTTGCAGATTGTTGTGCAGGAAAGTGTGGTTTAAGGTTTACAAACCATGATCCCACTATCTCTCTATAGTACTTGCAAGTTCTGTAAAAACTGAAGTAATCTGTTCTATTGATCTACTTACAAAGCTGTTACCAGGCTGAATTGTCACACGCTGTACATTTCCTGCTAGAAGCACTGAAACTGTGCAATAAAAAATGATGATATTCTCTGACTGCTTTTACAATTTCACCTCAATATTTTAGAGTTTTCAGGTAAAGCAAATAATAAGCATAACTGATCATACATCCATCATTTCAGCAATGCACGTTAGAAAGCTGCCTTGATAAATGTACAGCATCTTCTGCCAATCTTCTTCATAGAAATTTAATAAAATGCACTTTGCAGTAATCAAATTTCAGCTGTCGAGATGACCACAGATCAAGTTATAGACCAAACCTGAGCTTCCCACAAGCAGGACAGTGTTCCTTCTGCCAACAGAAGCTCCCCAAGGTAAATGAGAGTTTTGCAGTTCATGTTCCATCCTTGATTCTGAGATTTTGAGAGATGTTGATCAGATGCAGCCTGCAAAGGGAAACTTTTGCAAGTTGCATCAGAGATGACAAAGCAAATACAGTCTTGTCTCCCCTGGAATCACCCTTCCAGCTGACCGAACCTCCTGGGGCCAGACCCCCATGTCGTTGCCCATTGCCTTGGCATGGTGGCCTTGCTACCAGCAGTACATAACTTGCACCTACAATCTTCAGATTTCCTCAGCACAGAAGAGCAGCAGCTCTAATCTTAGGGCTATGTATTCTCTTGAGGGATTCTGTCTCGGGGCAGATTCCAGTGGAAATGGTTAGTAAGCGGGTCTTCTTTTTTTTTTCCTACCACGCAAAAGAATTATCAATGTCTCAGAAATTCACAACCAGGAATTTTTTAAGTGTTGCATCCTGAAGTCATTGCTATTTAAAATATTTTAGAAAAAATGGACCATGTGTTAAAGTCTGCATCATATTTCATACCTAAGACCCATTCTAGGAACAAATGAAAATAGGTAGCTATCCACTAACTTTATTGAATTCACTTAGACAAATTCAAACCCACCACTAAAACTTACGATTGTAATTTCAAAACTAGACGTCCCTTTAGAAAAGAGCTGTGGTAATGGCACCTGTGGCTTAACTAATAAACATTGTATCAGTGCTTATTATATGAGCTCACTTTTTACAGTGCATCTTCATTAACCATTTCAGAGGCAAATGTCATTAGAGTAGCACAGCTTCTCAGCTCAACCCGTCTCTTGTTTCTTGCAACTACTGTTGTTAAGAAGACAAACCAGCACCTACAAAAACATGTAATTTCTGCAGTAGGAAGTTGAGGTCTTAGACTACCACATTGTTTAGACAGAGAAACCACAGCCCAGGACCAAAGCATCCTTGCACAGAGAATCAGTGCAAACAAAGCCTAATACTGGGAAATGCTGTATCACCATAAAGGCCAAATCTGTGCCTGAATGAGAAGCAGGTTACCATACATTTTAATTTATGTTTTTTGCATAACATATGAAACTACGTACAAGTTTTTTAGTAGGAGGGGAAGGATGAGGGTGACAAAAAGTGTTTAGAATTTCCTGCTGAGATAGGTATGCAAATCAGCAGTCAGGCAGCTACAGTACCAGTGACTTGGCTATGCTGGTGGGAAACACCAAATGCAGCAGTAGTGATTACAAAGAAAATAAATAAACTTAATTGCATTTGGAGATGTGCAGTAAGGGTAATGAGGCAGGACGCAGGACAGAAATGAAGATGGGGAGAGCTGGGGAGGCAGCTGGCAGGCCGAGGCACACCTGGAAGGGGAAGAGAAGTGCTGGGTTTTTGGTGTGTCAGCCCAAATGAGGGCAAAGGAAAAGCATTGTGCTGGGGGGCTGCCTCAGGACCAAGACATCAGTGGTGGCCTGGGGAAGGCAATGGCCACCCCAACACAAATTGAAGAGAAGCATCCAGATATCACGGGACTAGAACTTCCAGTAAAGCATTGATACATTTCATAAGAGAGAAGTTTGTAATGATACACTCTCATAACTTTATCATTTCTGTATTTTAGGGATACACTCTCTATGCAAGTCTTTCAATTTCCTGTGCTCCTTTTTGTCAGATTTAATCAGATTATTTTTGTTGTATCTTCTTCCCTCCATTAAATGTGGATGTTGCTACACGAGGCTCGTTACAGCATTTTAAATTGATATAACATCAACTTTACCAGTTTTGTCCATAACTGCTTCATTAGCAGTAACGCAAGTTGCCAAGAATTTGGAAAACATCGAATAAAAATAAAAATATCCCTGCCTACCAAACCATAATGTGTATCAGTTAAAAAAAAAAAAAACAAAAAACCAAAAAAACCCCAAAACCAAAAAACCCAAGCAAATAAAAAGGAAAAGAGGTGAGTTGGTCTTCATTTATTTTCCTCATTTCTCCTGTTTTTATATAGGAAAATCCTTTATCTGGACATCGGGGACAGCCAGCCGCCCTCGGAGTTTCGTATCAGCCCTCACAGGAGCTTCTTGTTAAGCCGGTAAACGCAGCTTGTGGGGGACCCCGCAGCCCTCTCACACCTCGGAAACGCTCCCCGCCGGTATGTTACCCCAGGAACGGCGGGATGGCCGGCGGGCAGCAGAGCCCGCCCGAGACCCTCGAAACGCCCCCGGGGCGAAGAGCCCCGAGACGGCACGACCGCGGGGCGGTGGCGGTGGCGGTCCTGAGGGGAGGGCGCGCGCCCAACGGCCGCCA